ATTTGGCATTCTCTCGAAATCTCCTGTCCTCCCACTTCCGCCCTCAGTTCTCTCACGTTGGTCTCTAGGGTTTGTCTCGTCGCCAATTTAAGGTTTTTTCTTTTTCGCACTCGATTTTCATCACTTTATTCCAATCCTCTATCTTACTGTTGGCGGATCCTTTGAGCTCTAACTTGCTCATCTATGGCGGCTCCCGCTGTGCCTCAGCCCCGATCCTCCAAAACTGAGTCTTACGTTGATAACAAGCGCAAGGAGGATATTCGCCAGGCCAATATCGTAGCAGCTCGAGCCATTGCTGATGCTGTTCGTACTAGTCTTGGGCCCAAGGGCATGGACAAGATGATCTCCACGGCTTCCGGTGAGGTCATCATTACTAATGACGGGGCGACCATTCTCAACAAAATGGAGGTTCTCCAACCTGCCGCGAAAATGCTCGTCGAGCTGTCGAAGTCGCAGGACTCTGCTGCTGGAGATGGTACGACCACTGTTGTCGTCATTGCAGGTTCTCTTCTTAAACAGTGTCTTTCTCTTTTGTCCCATGGGATTCACCCCACTGTAATCTCCGATTCCCTTCACAAGACCGCCATTAAGGCTGTTGATGTGTTGACAGCAATGGCTGTCCCAGTTGAGCTATCGGATAGAGAGTCGTTGATTAAATCGGCTAGTACATCGCTAAATAGTAAGGTTGTTAGTCAGTACTCGACACTGCTTGCGCCGCTTGCAGTCGATTCGGTGCTCTCGGTTGTTGATCCTTCTAAGCCTGATTTGGTAGATTTGAGGGATATTAAGATTGTGAAGAAGTTGGGCGGGACCGTGGATGACACTGTGCTTGTGAAGGGTTTGGTGTTTGACAAGAAGGTAAGTCATGCGGCTGGGGGACCGACTAGAATAGAAAATGCGAAGATTGCAGTAATTCAATTCCAGATTTCACCACCTAAGACTGACATTGAGCAGAGTATTATCGTTTCAGACTATACCCAGATGGATAGGATATTGAAAGAGGAGAGAAATTACATTTTGGGTATGATTAAGAAGATTAAGGCCACTGGATGTAACGTATTATTGATTCAGAAGAGTATCTTGAGAGATGCAGTGACAGATTTGTCACTACATTACCTTGCCAAAGCTAAGATTTTGGTGATTAAGGATGTTGAGCGCGACGACATTGAATTCATTACAAAGACTCTCAATTGTCTGCCAATTTCCAATATTGAACATTTCCGCTCTGAGAAGTTGGGGTATGCAGATATTGTTGAGGAGGCTTCAATGGGTGACGGAAAGATTGTTAAGATTACGGGCATTAAGGATATGGGACGGACAGCTACTGTACTTGTTCGGGGATCAAACCAACTAGTGATTGACGAGGCTGAGCGGAGCTTGCATGATGCCCTTTGTGTTGTTAGGTGTTTAGTAAATAAAAGATTCTTGATTGCAGGTGGTGGTGCACCAGAGATTGAGCTGTCCAGGCAGCTGGGTGCCTGGGCAAAAGTGTTGCATGGAATGGAGGGTTACTGTGTTCGTTCCTTTGCAGAGGCTCTTGAAGTTATCCCATATACGTTGGCTGAAAATGCTGGGTTGAATCCGATCACAATTGTTACAGAACTGAGGAATCGCCATGCTCAGGGTGAGATCAATACTGGAATCAATGTAAGGAAGGGGCAGATCACAAACATCTTGGAGGAGAATGTGGTTCAGCCACTACTTGTAAGTACAAGTGCAATCACTCTAGCAACAGAATGTGTTCGAATGATTATGAAGATTGATGACATTGTCACAGTGAGATAGAGTGTGGGCTTTGAGAGAAAAATGCTGGTTTGTTGTATTTCCATTTCTGTTTGCAATTAGAATCTAGAGTTCTGTTTTGGTATGGCTACAAGAATTTTAATGTGTTCTTTCTTGCAACTTGCCTATAGTTGATTGGTATGCCTTTTTTCCCTTAAGAATTTTATGGACCATTATATTGGTGAATACATTCTATATTTATCTTTTCTAGTTTTTGCAACTTACGTGTAGTCTTTAAACATCATTAATTATTTGAGCTGTTCTGTGATTCTACTGTTCTCTGTTGGCACATCTTGGGAGTTTCAAAATAGCTGATTCTGCTTGTAGACTGTTAGTAGAGGTTTCTCTTGGAGTTGTTATTCTTTCTTCCTATATTTTATATGTCAAACTGATCGTTAATATTGCTACAATGATTCTTCCTGTAGAATTGGTCTTTCCCAGACTATTGTTGTAGAACTCATCTCATTCTTGGAGCTTGCCATTCTCATCATTTTTTTTTTTACTTTTCGTGGAGTATAATTCTCCTTGGTCAACAAGTCATAAGTTCTAGTTAGTGTACTGTCTTCTTCTTCTGAACTTCGTACTTGCCGATTGAGCTCTAAAGGGTCCACCCTAGTAACCCAATTTTTGGCCGAGTGTAAGAGATTTCTGTGGATTACTAACTGCAAATTGGATTTCTGTAAAATATTTCTGGTGATAAGAGACAATTTCATTGATAGATATGAAATTCACTAGAGAGTATCCATAAGGATTGTAAGAGTAAGGATAAAAGATCTCCAATTAGTATACATTATAGCTTAGGAGTACTTACAAAGGCATTGCTGTGAGTTTCTTTCCTCAGTACTAAAAATGCAACTTCTTTTTAGCCAGATTTCCTGAATGTTTGCTTAACAACATCCTGCCAATGTCCATAAATTTGCCCTATCTTTGAATCTGTCACCACGCAGTCTTTGAGCATAAGATTCTTTCTTGCTTTAGGAAACGTGGTGTAGAAATCCAGAGTATTAAATGGACTTCTCTATACTATCTTGGCCACAAGAAAGGAGAAAATAAGGATTGTGTCTAGTACGTTGTCTGTTCCTAAAATTTTCTGAATGTGGTCTGGGAGAGGAAGCATTTAGGATTAAGAAGTTAGTGAGATTCCTCCTTTGAATTCTAGCTAGAAAGAGAAAGAGAAAGAGAAAGAGATAGAGATTCCTCCTTTGTTCAAGGGGCCATTACTCTTGTCGCCTATTCACTCAGGCTTTTAAGGATCAAACCATGGACAGCTCCAATGTTCTAAGGAAGAGCAAATCCTACTTGGAAATGATAAGCTAAGAACTTCCCCAGCTGGGAGGTTGCAGACCCTTGGAAACCATCCTTTCTTATCCAAATCATTTTGGGCATCTAACTGAGAGTAGCATATCTCATCCATCATTAGATCTGCAGGTTAACGATTTTGGCCCTCTTGTTTGTTAACGATGAGAAGACTGACTACTTTTCAGTTTTCAGTTTACTTTGTGACTGCTCGCATCACGATTCGTACCCTACTCGATAGAAATTCCCTATGATTTTGTCATTTCTATAAGACACACCACAGTAGGGGTTTAGGGAAAACAGAGAGAAAGCGGGGAAGGTTGGTTAACATAGCTTGAACCATTGTAAGATGCACTCTTTTACCAAATTCTTGCTGGGATTAACAAGAACTGAAATTGGGATTGCCTCCAGAATGTAGTGTTCTTGAAGAATGAAAATGATAGGAACCAACCTTGCAACCCCAAGTTCATGCAGTCGAATCAAATCTTTATATCTGTGTTAATCTTGTCTGCCAAACAGTTTTAAGGTTCTTCTAGGACTAGTGTCCTTATATAACTCCTCTAGCGAACATATTGCCCTTAGAATTTCGACCGACTAGAATTGAACAAGAAAATTCAAAGCCTTTATTTCCCCCCAAGAACCATTAGCCTGGGACCCTTGCTTAAGAGACTCGTAGCCCAGATAACGTTTGATATGCTAGGCTGCTACTTGTTTGGATCCACATTCATATGTGAACTTAGGTTGCTTGTTTCATTTGTACTTGAAATGATCGTTGAGATTGTGTTCATGTGTATTATTTTCACGACCTTAATTGATCAGGATTTGTTTTATAGATAGGTTATACAATTGTCTCTTTGAGTTATAAATATGCCTTGTTTTCGCACAAGGGACAAATTGTTTGGTGCCTTTGCATATCATGTGCATTAGGGGAACTATTTGCTTTCTCCTCTCCACACGATGAAGATTAGACCATGAAATACTTAATCTTCCTATTTAGTCAATATGTTGGTGCCTTTGCATATCATGTACAATTGTCTCTTTGAGTATTTGTAAGACTAGACCATGAAATACTTAATCTTCCTATTTAGTCAGTATGTTGATGAAAGTTAGAGATTTATATTTCCTAGAACCGGATTGCTCTAATACTAATTTGACTATCTGTAGATCAATACCTACCCATAGGATGAATCCATCGTATTGGGAAATCTAGCTAAACTATCAAGTCACACATCCTAAACTATCTGAACACCTACCCATAGGATGAATCCATCGTATTGGGAAATCTAGCTAAACTATCAAGTCACACATCCTAAACCATTGAGCTAATATAAAGCTAAATATAAAAGCATTAAGCTAATATAAAGCTAAATATAAAAAGAGGTGCAAATTAAGAATAATATTAAGAAAGGATGAGAATTAAAAATATTTTATAAAAATATATTACTTAAAAAGTGCATGTATGTTAATGCCTAAGCTTAACAAAATAAATATATTACTTCCAATATTTATTTGTTTTATAACTTAAAACAAAATCAATATTCTCTTATAAACACTATATATTTAGTTATGAATTAATTGGTTTGGTGGTTCAAATTTAAATTAAATTTTTTTTAGAATTTGGCTATGAAAATTCTTAGAAATATATGGTGAGAAAACACCATTTTTTTAAAAATAAATGTTTAATTTACTCTAATTTTAAAAATTAGAATTTAATCATAATAATTTGATAAAATCTCATAAATGTAATCTCAACCATAAAAATTTAGGAGATTTTTATCCAATTATAACTTTTAAAACCATTAAATTCTAATTTAATTTTCAAATTATAAGGATAAATTTGTAATAAAAATAAAAAACTAAAGAAATATGAATTTGATTGAACTTGGAAAAAAAAAAAATTGTAACGCGGTAGGAGGAGTAAAAAATTGGGAAAAAGAGGAAACGCCAGAAAGTTACACATTTTAATGGCGGCGTAGCCTCCAAATCCTAGCCGGTTTGCCTCCACTTCCCATCTTTTCCTCGGTATTCTCTCTGAAGCTCTCGTCCCCAAAACTGTGTCTCTCCCTCTCGGATGCTCCTTTGGTGACCTCCTTTCTCTTTCCATTTACAGGGTGCATCTTTTTGAGCTCTGCTGACGGAGATCGTCGAAGAATTTCATTCGCACAACCTCTGTAAGCAAAGGCTCTCGGCGTCCTGATTGCTCATCTTATCTCGCCAATTTTGTGTCCGATCATCAATTGGTTCTTCTGATTCTCCTTTCTCACATCGGGATTGAGTTTTGTGTACCGTTTTTGGGCCTGATCGGTCATGTACTCTGTTCTACTATCACATATTATAAGAAAATTAGACTAGGGTTTTAAGTGTTTTCTATTTTCCTCCTATTTTCTAGTTTCTAGTTTCTATTGATTGTAGCTTTGGGTTCCATGTTAATGGATTTTCCCTTCCCAGTATTGTATTATTGACGTTTATATGATTACTATCTTCTTATTTATTTTTTTTTCCTTTCTTGATATGATTTTCTACGGGGAAAAGGTGTGAAAAAAAAGTAGAAAAGAAAGGGAAAAAATTGGTAAAAATTATCATCAAGCAATACACTCTCGCCATCCCCTTTTTTCGTAATAAAAGATCGAGCGAGAGAGGGAAAAAAACGAGACTGTAAAACTTGTGTGTTATTTTCGAATGGGGAGCCCTGCACTGAATGGCCGGAATAATGGGCAGCGGTTAGGCATTACTGACCCCATTTCGTTGAGTGGACCGACGGAGGATGACGTGAGAAAGACTCGCGAACTTGAAAAGGTTCTGGGTTGTTTACATTTGTAGTATCATTTATTGCAAATAAGCTATTTTTTCTCCTGAACTTAGTTGTTCTTTTTTTTGGGGTGTTCAGTATTTGCAAGATGCTGGATTGTACGAAAGTCAGGAGGAAGCCGTGAGTAGAGAGGAAGTTCTTGGAAGACTAGACCAGGTTGGGCCATCCTTGGTTGTTTTTGAGAAGTAGAAAAGAAGAAAACAATGATTCGGTTTGCAATGCCTGCGCTTTAACATTCGTGTCTTTGCTGTTTAACTGATAGAACATTGTGGTTTTCGTACTCCGATAGTAATATTAAGTCTTTTCTGTACATGGAGCAGATTGTGAAGATTTGGGTTAAAGCAATTAGTCGTGCAAAGGGGTTGAATGAGCAACTGGTGCAAGAAGCAAATGCTAAGATTTTCACATTTGGTTCATATCGTTTAGGGGTACAGACCTGTTTTACTCTTGTAGAGCTTTATTCTCTATGAGATTTTGATGACGTGTGCTATGATTATCTTCCGAAGATAAATGCTTTTAAATAATGGTTTTGTTAGAATTTTCTGTCTGTGATTGCTTCAGTCTCAAAGATTCAGTACTTCTATTATGTATAAACCAGAAGATTATACCATGATTGCAACAGTGTTTGAAGTATGCCGAATAAATCTGGTTGCTAAGCTGAAAAATTGATTTGTATGTAGAATTTCCCAAGTTCATACTTATATAAGATAGTGATGTTGATTGTCATGCTTCCATCATCCGTTGCATCCAATTTTCAGATATTTAGTTGTTTTTTCTTATGCATGCTGGTGGCATCTGACGGTGCCCAGATCTATTGTATATAAAAAGGTAGTTTCATGCAGATATAATTAACTTCTTACTAATGACTAATGAGCCGAGCATTTCTAATTAGCATGGATTGGACTATTGGTGAATAAGGGCCAACGTAAACAGTTAAGGGTTCAGAGGGAATGTAGTCGAGGAACCTGTCTTGAATTATGATTGTAAAACACCTATTGACATGGCATTTGAACAAATTGTTAAATTTAAAGCTTGAAATAATAATGAGAAGACTTCTCACTTATTTTAGTATATATGATCTTGTCATTATTAACTTGATTTGCATTTTTCATACTTGTCTGTTGACAATCACGGGAAGTTAAATAATCAAATTGTATGTATGGTTTGTATTGTCTCTTATCCAAAAACCAATCAGGGTCATTATGCTTCATTCGTATGTATTTAATTTGTAAATTTGATGTATCAACCACAAATTAGATTTCATATGGACTTAACAAGTAACTCATTTTTCGTGTAGCTTTTGGTGGGCATTTATGTTTTTTTTCAAGGATGATCTTCATTTTAGAGAGTTCTATTTGTCTTCTATAGTGGCTGCAGCTAACTCTACTTGTCAACGAATGCATTTGTTTCTCCATCTTTCCTGTCTCTCTCTCTATCTCCTCCCTTTCATTGAGGGTTTTCCCCCTTTTCTTGCAACACAGCATTATAATTTGTTAAATAAGAAAATGGAACCGCAAGAGGAGGTTAGGAAAGCCAGGTGCCAACCAACACATTAGGTCCCTCTTTAAAATGAATGTTGCAACTTTCTCTTTCAAGCGACTCACATAGAGCTTGAATTTCTGACTACGTTGTAGTCATTTTCTTTTCTTCGCCAGGAAAGTTTTAACTATTTATTTTTATGTTTGTAGGTGCATGGCCCTGGGGCAGACATTGATACACTCTGTGTGGGACCTAGGCATGCAACACGTGAAGTGCGACCAGTTTCCATTTTCCTGAATACTCGTAGTGCATTAATTTTTCATATATTCTGGTATTTTAACTTTGTTGGCTCAAGAATGCTTTCGTTGCTTGGCTGTAGGAAGACTTTTTTGGTGAGTTACATAAAATGCTGTCAGAGATGCCTGAAGTATCTGAGTTGCACCCTGTGCCTGATGCTCATGTCCCTGTCATGAGATTTAAGTTTGCCGGGGTTTCTATTGATCTTCTCTATGCAAAATTGTCACTTTGGGTTATTCCTGAAGTAAGTCATTGTATACTAGCATAATCCCATTTAAAATTATCCCTCTAATATTTCACGATTATGATGTACTGATGCCATGCCATGCTATACAATATAGGTTTAATAAAGTTTTGTAGCTAATTTGGAATTTTACTGTTAGAAAATAGATTTCTTTGTTTCCTTTTCAATGCTTTCTATATTTTCACTCTGGACTCTTATTACGTCTTCCCCTAGCCTCATCCAGGTTCATAAATGTTCTATAATCTTTGTATATTTTCCAATACCAATAGATGTTGGTATGATCTGCTCTTATTTTTTTTTTATTCTGAACCAGGACTTGGATGTATCTCAGGACTCAATACTACAGAATGCAGATGAACAGACCGTTCGTAGTTTAAATGGTTGTCGAGTTACTGATCGAATTCTGCGATTAGTTCCAAATATTCAGGTTGAGGATTAAAACCTGGCTAGATTTTTTCTCAATCTGAATATTAATTCATTCTTAGATATTGGTTAATTTATGAAGTGCAGAGTTTCCGAACAACATTGAGATGCATGAGGTTTTGGGCTAAACGCCGAGGTGTTTATTCCAATGTATGGTACAGATGTCTACAAAAGTGGATTGCTTCTAATTTCATGCAAAAATTTCTTACACAATCATGTGACTTTTAATTACTGTGGCCAGGTTTCTGGGTTCCTTGGTGGTATAAACTGGGCATTGCTCGTTGCTCGCATATGCCAACTATTCCCCAATGCATTGCCAAATATGCTTGTGTACCGTTTTTTCAGGGTCTTCACCCAGTGGCGCTGGCCTAATCCAGTCATGCTGTGTAGTAATGAAGAAGGATCTCTTGGACTTCCAGTTTGGGATCCTAGGAGAAATCCAAAGGATAGATACCATTTAATGCCCATCATTACTCCTGCTTATCCTTGCATGAACTCTAGCTACAATGTTTCTTCAAGCACCTTGCGTATTATGACTGAAGAATTTCAGAGGGGACATGACATTTGTGAGGTATATATCTTCTGTAATGTTCTGCAATGACATCTTTTATCCCCAGTTAGGGATTTGCATAATGAGTTTAATTTTATTCATGTTTCTATCCATGCCATTTAGTTGTTTGACCTGCTGTCATAGGTTCATTGTAATTTTCGTTATCTTTAATTTGATGTCTCATCCATTCTTCTATATATATTATTTTTTATAATTACTTTTGCAAGTACAAGGGAAGTTTATAGTGGCTTATGTCATTTTCAATTTGATTGCTAGTACCCAAGATTTTTATAGGTTGGGTTCTATCTCCAATTTTTCAGTGTTGAGTGAAATATGAAACCTTGTTTATGAATTTACTAGTGGGATTTGGTATGTTCTTAAGAAGGTGCGATTTTTAAAGATCAGCCCAACTACAGTTTGGGTTTGCAATCATTTTGACATGGTAACTTCATGTTATTGACATTAGAGAGCTTTTCCTCTTTACATGTCCACGATGCAGGTTAAGTATTGTTCTGATTTTACTTTGATGGTTTTTAAATGTTGTCAGGTTATGGAAGAAAACAAGGCTGATTGGGATACGCTTTTTGAGCCTTACCCCTTCTTCGAAGCATACAAAAATTATTTACAAATAGACATTACTGCTGAAAATGCAGATGATCTAAGAAAGTGGAAAGGTTGGGTTGAATCTCGTCTCCGCCAACTGACATTGAAGGTGAAATTGTAATTTCATATTTGTTTACTTTTGGCCTTTGTATCATTTATCAAATTTTGAACTCCTTTCTTAATTATAAATGGAGATTGACTTGGGCTCAATTGTGATGCAGATTGAGAGACATACGTATAACAAGCTTCAGTGCCATCCACATCCAGGCGATTTTTCTGATAAATCCAGACCTTTCCACCATTGTTATTTCATGGGTTTGCAGCGAAAACAAGGAGTTCCTGCAAGTGGAGGTGAACAGTTTGATATGAGGTTGACAGTTGAAGAATTTAAACATTCTGTCAATATGTATACACTGTGGAAGCCTGGGATGGAGATATATGTATCACATGTGAAAAAGAGGAATATACCAAATTTTGTTTTCCCAGGTGGAGTCCGACCTTCGCGTGCATCAAAAGTGACATGGGATAGCAGGCGTAGTTCAGAACTGAAAGCTTCTGACAGTGCTCAAGTAGACAGGCCATTTGAAGTTGCAGAAAGTATGGATGGAGTAGATGATAGAAGGAAAAGAATGCGTCTTGATGATAATGTAAATACTAACTCGAGAAATGGAGAATGCTTGGTTGTTGTTCATTCCCACCCTGAGGAAGTTCACGAAGTCAGCCAAGTCAGCACCACTAGCTCATGTTCCATTAAGGATTTGAATTCTACTCCTACAAGTGCAAATAACTTAGAAAATCTGGCAGATGTTTCCTCTCAGAATAATGGAGATCATGGATCCATGGAAGTTGATCATTCCACAAACATTGTATCTGCAGCTGCTGATACATCAAGCTGTAAAGCAGAGAAGCTGGCAATTCAAAAGATTCTGTCTGATTCATATGACTCTCACCAAGCTTTGTCTAGTGAGCTAGAAGAGCTCGACGATTTTGATTATAAAAATCAAGCTAAAGATTTTGGGGCCACTAAGCAAGGTAGCCCCTTGATGTCTTCGGTTGCCAACACATCTTCTGTGGTGCCTATGACATCTTGCAATGAAGCACGCCAGTCCTCAAGTTCATATTCCAATGGGGGCTTAGAGGAGCTTGAGGTTTTCTATACTTTAATCAAAACTTTATCTCTTTCAATTCTTCTGTACTATCATATAGTTGGTGTTCTTTTCAACTTTAATTGCAGATTACTTCTGTCTTGTTAGCGTATGCTTCTAAAGTGCTAATGGGTTGCTTGAGGGTGGTTTTATATGTTATTTTTCTTTGTTTTTCTGTCTTGAAAATGAAGTTGTTCAAGGATAGCAGGTTAACAATTAAAACATTGTAGTAAGATTAATTCAAGGGGGAAGTGGTTTTTTAGAGGGCTTGAAATTTTTTTTTGATTGCCCCTCCCATTTAAAACTAGATTAACTAATAAGCTCCGTTTTCCTTGGTATCTCACTGCTTAATTTCTTATGTTAAGCCTGCTGAGCTTGTGGCGCCATCGTCAACGGGGACCGCTCCTGCACCTGTAGCTGCCCGAAAGCCAATTATCAGGTGCTTTGCTACTCTCCTATTTCTGTAGAGAAGAAGAACGGCTGACATTCGATTAAAATACTTGATAAATTTTTCTTCCCACTGTCGCTTTGATATGGGTTGGTATCTTGAACGTTCCATTTCCATAGTCTCCTCGTACCTTTTCCTTTTGGTTGTGGGTTATGACCACACACCATCATTGTCAATGTTGGCTTATTCATTCCAGTTTCTTTTCTTCCTTCAAATTGCAGGTTGAGCTTCACTTCCTTGGGCAAAGCTGGTAAAAGCTCGTAAAGAAGGGTGTCGCCAAAAGCAGCTCGGGAGGGAATTCTTCTAATCTGTTATGTACCAGGCAATGTCTAGCCAATCGATTTTCTTTTCATGGAACTCTTGACCCTTAATAATACAAAAAATGAAAAAAAGAAGTCCCGAGTTTTTATGTAATATGTATAATGGGCTTGAAGGCCCCTATATGCCAACAGTTCTACATATATGTACTAGTCGGTGTATGCCTTCTATTTCTACCACGTTAATGCAGATGATAGCTTATATTATGTCTTCCAAACTCTTGAGAACCATACATCTTCCTTCTGTGATCATCTTTCCTATGTTGAGAGAGAACATGGTCATTTTCTGGATGCACATGGGTTTACATAACTGATTCCAAAACAGATTCTCTGTTCTAAAAACAATGCGTCATTTTCTCCACAAGAAGAAAGACGTATTTGGATGATATGATATTGTTATTTCATTATTGCCTGTTATCTGTTTACTTTTTTTAGACTGGAGCACTTGGTCGCGTGCAAGTTGCTTGTTCTTCATCACATGCTTCATGTTCTATGGCTACTTCAACTATTTTAATCTGTGTTTCTCTCACTTTGATGTGATAAATAATCTTATAAAATCGCTTCTTTTATTCAACACACTTCTTTAATTGTATGACAACAATACTTCAATGGCGTGCTTGCAAATCCCGATGGGCTCTTGGCTATTAATAATACTCTGAGAGGAAGCAAAAAGTCTTGAGAGTTAGAGTTGGTACTTCACAGGAGCTGAGTTCAAGTGGGATGGAAAGGAAACATCTTGAATATGTGTTGGTTCCGCTTGGTTTTGCGGTGCTGGTGAGCTACCATCTATGGTTGGCAGTCACCATTTACTGGAGACCGAAAAGAACAGTCATTGGAATCAACGCCGAATCCCGCCGGCAATGGGTCTCCACCATGATTTCAGTGAGTGCCTCTTCTCTCTCTCTCTCTCTCTTTTCTTCCATTTGGATGTTAACTCACTTCAAGAACCAACTTTTCTATGGTTTGATATCTGATTTTTTGTTTAGAGAAAGCATCTGTAAGCTAAAGAGAAAACTAGTATGAAATTCCTTTTAAGTCATGGCCTTTAGATAATAATGGAAGCATTTTGAAGCTGAGAACAAGAGTTTATTTCTTTTTCTTGATTTGTTTTCCATGTCTTGTTGATATCTTTGAGACTCTGGTAGCATTATTGTGTCGTTTCTGGGATTTTGGTTTGGCATGAACTTTCTTTATTCATTTTCATCTAAAATCATCTGCTAACCGGCATCGGTTGGATTGAGAACATTCTTTTCTCTTCAGATAAAGATTTAAGTGGTTCACTTTGTGACTAGATGAAGAATTTGAGCTATTTCTTTAAGATTCCGCATGGATTACTAAACGTATTTCCTCCCTTACTATGAGAAACTTATTATGCTCTCGTGCCTTCTAAATGATGGACAACTGATTAGTTCAAAAACTATATTGAATCATTTGATACTCGGAAGGGTAGAGTAGAGTAGTGATGTAGTTCAATGGACTTGAAAAGGTCTCTTTTTATGAGAAACTTAATGAAACTTCCATGGCTGACTAGACTACTACGAGTGATGATGTTCAGGATCCCATGAAGAATGGTGTTCTCGCAGTCCAAATCATACGAAACAATATCATGGCTTCCACGCTTATGGCCACGACAACAATCACCATTGGCTCGTTGCTTAGTGCTTTTGTAAGCAGCACATCAAGTACTGGAAAGTACCATTACATTGTACTGTGTTTCCTCGTTGCATTTCTTTGCAATGTGCAGTCTATTCGATACTATGCTCATGCCAGCTTCTTAGTCACTTTGCCTGCTGGTGAAAGCAGAATGGATTATTTTGCTGGAATCTTGAACCGGGGAAGCTTATTTTGGTCACTCGGACTGCGAGCTTTCTATTTTGCAATTCCTCTCTTCCTCTGGATCTTTGGACCTCTTTCAATGTTCTTGAGTTCCTGCCTTATAACATTTGTGCTTTACTTCTTGGACTTTACTAGAACTTCCAGCTATGATCCTTATGAATATCTGCAAAAGGAAGAAGTGAACAACAATGACATTGAATCTGTTGGTCAATCAAGGTGAGTACTGTTAGTGTCGGTGTTAATCAAGTTTTTTTTAGAACTTTCATATACTTGATTGTTCTTTATCTATCCGACTTTATGATATCTGCATTCGCCATGGTTTTCTAACAGTGTGTTCTGTATTTTTTCGGGTCAGGGGAAACAACTTCGCCGTAAGCTCCCGCCTTCACTCTCCTCTACTTGCAAGTTACAGTATGACCTCCAATTGCAATGATTCTGCAGATCAAAGCTGAAAAACATTTTGTTAAACCTTACTCTTTTAAGCTATTGCTATTATTGAGAATCGAGTTTGGGAAGAGAATGGATACACATTTCCTATGTTTAGAGTCCATAGGCATTGTCTGAATGTGTGCTAACTGTTTAAACTTTCCTCTCCCTAAACTCGGTTAAGCTGCTATTTTCTCTCCCTTTGATCGAGCTGCTATTTTTCTGTTTTCACTTGAGAATGACACTCCTGGCTTGACTCAAAAATAGGTCGCGTCCGCTCTCGTTTATTCCTATGGCAGGTAGGCAGCCAGTTGGAAGGGAGTTTGATCTCTTACTTGGGAGTATATATGTTTGAGTTATGTTCGGTTGACAAAGGACTAGAATATAAACTATGTATAGATGTTTTATCCTATGAAATGTTATGTAAACCATGATTGATATCGATATCAAACTACCATTCATCTCGTCTTATAGCTATTGAGTTTGTGTGGAGTCTCGTTAAGGGTCGTTTTCTATCTCAACCATATCATTATAATCAGACACTTCACTACACTCTATCGTTTGAGGTCTTTTGTTCATAATTGAAGAATAGTTTCGTTTCAGTCCAATATTATCTAAGAAACGTGATGAATTTGCATAAGTTTATTGGTTAAAATAGAGTGAGTTGAAAATGACGTTTGTTTTCTTATTTTACATTTCCATGTGAACTTTGTCCCGTTTCACAAGAAATGGAATGGAAATCGCTCATTATCCATTTTCTTTTCTCTTTTCACCCTGCCTAATTGAACTTCCCAATTGTATTTTACAAAGATTCAAGCTTTTACTAGAGAATGATTGGGTTGAAATATGGCTTTCTTAATGAGTAGAACTAAGGGAGCAATCAAATTTTGCAAAAAAGAGAAATAAATATAGGGCCAACCAATTGAATTTCGCCTCTAACACTTGCGATGAGGTCGGTCCATGGATTTTCTTTCTTTTTGTCGCATTTCTCTCAAAGGCATTGACTCGACTCGACTGTAAACTCAGTAATCTCAGCCTATTTTACGAGACCGAGAGAAAAGAGCGAGAACTTCCAAAATAAGCATGAACATTGCCTTTCCTATAGGAACATCTACGGAGGCGTAAAAGCAAGACCCCGACAATGAAATGATCGGGAAGCAGCTTTCTTCCCACCGTGTCCTTTTTTGCTATTAGTATCTAAAATGTTCAATAGACACTCCAGCGTCTCATGAATATGGTTCGAATTGATGTTTGGCCTAATTTGAATAATAGATTAGAGAGGAACTCGGGTCCAAGTGGTTCATGATTAAAAGTGGTAAGCTTTTAGGAGAAGGGGAGAACAAAAAAGTTATATCTCCAACACTTTATTATTCTCATCTTAAAAAGAAAAAAGAAACACTTTATTATCATACATACTTTTGAATTTTGATTAGACATTTTTACATGAAAGACCTCTTACCTCACCTTTAGTCTCGCTTCCATTTTCGTTTATTCTCGACTAGACTCTATAAGTTTGATCAAGTCATGTTATTTTCTTGAGGCTTTATTATTGCACTAGAATCGTATTTTAACATAGATAAAACTGGAAAGATAAGAAGAATTGGGAGAAATCTCACCTAGCTGATCTCGGTCGGGATTTGATGTTTCGAACGTTCTTGCTCGGCACTATTCAAAGATTAGCTTTTCTTTTGGTTTTTTTTGGTTTGAATTTTTGGTTCTTCCTCAACCATTTGAGTAGTATTGATCTATTACCTTCATTATTTTATTCAGCTTGGCGATCATTTACAAATGCCTTTTTCGCCGCCTAGGAGCTTCACAACCACCTCTAATGGCGGCCACCAACATTTTTCATTTCTCTCTACCCACCAAATCTAACCCTTCAGCTCTGCCGTTCAACACTTCTTCTTACTTCCTCCTTTCATCGCCACTTTCCAGGCAAGATTTCTCTTCAATCTTTCTCAACTACGTGATCAATACCCGAATCTTTCTAACCCCTCTTCTGAACATTTCAGGTCTGTCAAAATCATCCGATGCCTATCTGTTCACCGATCAAACGACGAGGGCACCTCTGCTTCCAACAGCACGAACGACGGCCTGCGAGTCGTCCTCGCCGCCGGAGGCACTGGCGGGCACATTTATCCAGCCATCGCCATTGCTGATGAGCTAAAACTCGCCTTCCCCACATCACAAATCCTCTTTCTAGGAACACCCAACAGCACAGAAAGCGCCGCCGTCCCCTCCGCCGGGTACGAGCTCGAAACGGTTCCGGCTACCAAACTAACTCGCCCCCTTATCTCTCCCCAAAACCTCCTCCTCCCTTTACATCTGATTAAATCCGTGGTTGCGAGTTACAAAAAACTACACGATTTCAAACCCCACGTTGTCATCGGCACTGGTGGGTACGTCTCGTTCCCGATTTGCCTTGCTGCAAGGCTGATTCATGGGGTCAAGCTCGCAATCCAAGAACAGAACTCGGTTCCAGGATTTGCGAATTGGGTTCTTTCCCATCTTGCAGATGTGGTGTTTGTTGTATTGAACTCCACGGTTGAGTGTTTTCCAAGGAAGAAAAAGTGTTTGGTTTGTGGGAATCCAGTGAGATTGGCAGTGAGACAGTATATCTCTAAGGCTGTGGCACGTTTGCATTTCTTTCCAAGATCGGGGAAAGTTGAGGATTTGGAGGCTAAGGTGGTGGTTGTTCTTGGAGGGTCTTTGGGTGCCAATGCCATTAACATAGCCATGCTGAATCTGTACTATCAGATGTTGTTAGAAAACAAGAACTTGTACATCATATGGCAGACTGGCGTGGAAACATTTGATGAAATGGACAGCCTTGTGAAGAACCATTCCCATCTGCATTTAACGCCGTACAGTATTAAATACCTCTCAACTACCCTTTTGCTTGCTGATTTTAGCTGTGCTATTTATTGATTCCAACAACCTGCATTTACCTGCCTCCCTGTTGTTTATAGTCTTGATATCGACATAAGATATCATCATCATGATATATGTTCGTTCGTAAGTTGAGGTTTGTGGCCAAAGTGAGCATAGCTCAACGTTATTAAGCATGTACAGATCGACGGTTTAAGTCTCTGAACTTTGTGTGTTATGATCCCCTAGAATGCATCTGGTAGACATAAATAGGCATGAAAAAGAGTGTTGTTCTTGAGAGAGTTTCTGTAAAAGCCCAAACCCGTCCCTAGCCGATATTGTCCTATTTGGGCTTTTCTTTTCGGGCTTTCCCTCGAAGTTTTAAAATGCGTCTGTTAGTGAGGTTTCTACACCCTTAATAATGTTTTGTTCTCCTCCCCAACTGACGTGGAATCTCACAATCCACCCCCTTTCGGGGTCGAGCGTTCTCGTTGGCACTTGTTCCCTTCTTCAATCGATGTGGCAGTGTCCTTGCTAGCACATCACCCGGTGTCTGGCTTTGATACCTTTTGTAACAGCCAAAGCCCACCACTAACAGATATTGTTCCTTTTCGGACTTCCCCTCAAGGTTTTTAAAACCCGTCTGCTAGGGAGAGGTTTTCACACTTTTATAAATAATGTTTTGTTCTCTTTCCCAACCGATGTTGGATCTCCCAGTTTCTGAGATCGTACTAATTGTATGTAGAGCTTTTATTTGATGCTGCTGAAGAGCTTTTGGAAGCTCTGGAGGGGAAAAAATAAAGAACTTCAGAGTCCAGCATCTAAATGTATGCTAGAATTGAAGTGCAAGTGTTTGATACAAATCTAGGCAAAGAATAAGAATGAGCATGACAACAACATGGTGGCTCCATGTTCGTATTATTACACCCGTATAAGTGGATTGTATTGCAACTATGTCGATATACGTTTCGACAAATTTATCTTTTCATCGTGCTGGTATGGAAGCAACGTCCCATATCTATGAATCATACATGGAAGTGTATCGAATGATACGACCTTCCTTGCTTGATGAATATTGTTGATCTCTCATATTGATACTTAAAGCAGCATAATCTTATGATGTGATGAAAGTAAAAGCGTGTAATAGATCTTACCTTGAGATTAAGTGATGTTTTTTTTGTATTGTTTAAGGTTCATGCATTCTCTGCATTTGGCATATGCAGCTGCAGATCTGGTTGTTTCTAGAGCGGGGGCCATGACTTGCTCTGAGATCCTAGCTACTGGAAAGCCTTCCATATTGGTACAAATTTCAAGCTTTTTTTTTGTGTATATAAGCTTGAGTTTTGTTCTTTCTTTGAAGGAAACCTTATATTTTGACCCTTTTAACTTCAGATACCCTCACCATATGAAGATGAGGGGCATCAGTTCAGAAATGCTTCAATAATGGCTGACATGGCTGGTTCAACTGTCATTAATGAAGATGAACTAGATTCAACTACGCTTGCGATTGCAATTCAAGAGATATTAGGTATGTTGAGTATGCTCTATGAATCAAATCATTTCTTATTAGAATGGAACGCATGCTTTAATTTACTTGTGATCGTCACACAAAAGCGTCACTAGAGGTTAGTTGGCGGAGTTTCTAGCCATGCTAAACCTATAACGAAAATTGATATTCTTTCGAGGTCTTTCTCTCAAAGTTCTAAAACACATATGCTAGGGAAAGATCTTCACACCCTTATAAGGAATGCTTCGTTCCCCTCTCCAACCGAAGTGGGATCTCACAATGCACCCCTCTTGGGGCCCTACGTCCTTGCTGGCACACCGCTTGGTGTCTGGTTCTGATACCATTTGTAACCGTTGGGAGTGAGTCCCACATTGGCTAATTTAGGAAATGATCATGAGTTTATAAGTTAAGGAATACATCTCTATTGACATGAGGCCTTTTGGAGAAGCCCAAAGCAAAGGCATGAGAGCTTATACTCAAAGTGGACAATATAATACCATTGTGGAGAGTCGTGATTCCTAACGGTAACAGTCCAAGCTCGCTAGTAGATATTGTTTTCTTTGGGCTTTTCCTTTAAGGGGCTTCCCCTCACTGTTTTAAGGAGAAATGTTTCGTTTCTCTCCAACCAATGTGGGATCTCACATGAAATGTCACGAGTTACAAACCTTCTTGATACCATCCTTTTGTGATGCAAGATTGGTACTCTCAATTTTGAGCACGTGAACGGTTTATTGGCATGTTTGTGCGAACATCATATGCCATGCTATATTAGGCCATTGTTTAGCTTTTTGGAGATCTCTTCTGTTTCACTTGGTTGAAAGAGGTGGTGATTGAGATGTCATTGGATGAGTATTATGTTTGTTTACAGGTGATGAGAGTAAAATGGAAGCTCTGTCCGAGAGAGCATTGAGAGTATCAAAACCCAATGCCGCTGCTGAAATTGTTCATCACATTGGAAACTTAATAAACTTCTCTACTAATGGTGGATGAAACAATTTTATGATCAACTTATTTTTTCATTGTTATGATTCTTCCAAGTTGTCGAAACTGATTTGTTTGTCTCTGTATTTTTTATTTAATTTTTAAATTTTAGTATATTACGAGTTAATCTTTATAAGATATATAAAAGAATGTCTCCATTAAAGTGTAATGAATTTAATGTAGCGGTCACCTAAATTTCACACTAACAAAAATAATGGAAATGATTATTGGATTGAATAAAACCTGACCCATCTTTTTATAGTAAAAATTAAATCTTTACAAAAGTTCAATTTTTACAATTAATAAAAAGATTTAAACCTAGTAAGTAAAACAGCAATAATCTTAAAGGATAACGTTGATTACCAAATGGATATTGTTCAGACAGGTCAGCGCTTAAGTAGGGCCCACCATCGAAGTGAGAAAGTCAAAACTTGGTCAAGTAGGACCCACTGAAATGTGAATTACGGGTCACGACAAATTCATGGCCAAATTCCCAACTGCTCGACGTAACTTCGCCTTCACCAATTTTCGTTTTTTTTTTTTTTTCTTTACGTCTCAAAAAATCTCCGAATCCGCCATTTTCAAACCTCGTCATTTTGTTTCTTTGTAATTACCCACAAGCAATAACCTCTCTTCCATTTTATACTTCACCCTCCGATTCCCTCAAACGCAGAGAGATTATGGCGACCCTTTCGTTATCCCGTTTCGATCTCTCTTCCATCGGCCGGAGCGACAATCGCCGCCGTCACCTCCACCGATTCAGGCGACAAGGGAAATCGGAAGCCTCGTGGGCCTTATGCCGGCGGAATATGGTCGCCGTGAAGTCCGTCACAGCGTTTTACGGTGGCAATAAGGAGAAGGGTTCGATCTGTACTGCCGACGAGCTTCATTACGTCTCTGTTCCCAACTCTGATTGGAAGCTCGCTCTCTGGCGGTACAACCCTTCTCTTCAGGTTCTACTCCGATCATACAAATTAATTTGGTTTTGTTTCTTTTGTAATCCCTAAAATCTTTGAGTGAACATGTTGATTGGTGTGTTCGAGAGTTGGGTAGAACATGGGGTTCCTAATTGTAAGATTGTTTGTTTTCTTTTGCAAACAGGCGGCATCCAGAAATCATCCGCTTCTGCTGTTGTCAGGGGTCGGGAGCAACGCTCTTGGATATGACCTTTCTCCAGAGGTGAGCCACCATCGATAGAGTTCTTCTTTCATTTCCTATCTTGTTTTGTTCTTTTTGATCTTTTCATTTTCTGCTGCCATGACCCACCACTAGGCTTTCCCTTCCCAGCTTCGTTCCTTTCTCGATAGATGTGGGATCTCACAATCCACCCTATTGAGAGCCAGCATCCTCACTAGCACACCACCATGTATCTGGCTCTGATACCATTTATAACAGCCTAAGTCCGCCGCTAGTGGATTTTGTACTATTTGGACTTTCCCTTCCGAGTTTTCCCTTAAGGTTTTAATACTAGTGGTTTCTACACCCTTACACATAATGCTTCGTTCCCCTCTCAAACCAATGTGAGATCTCACGACTATAGTTGTACTAAAACAGATACTAGAAATGGGGAATGTTAAACCGAGCATTCCAAATAGGAAGGTGGACAAATGTTCAACAAAACCATCCTTAATTTTAGGTTCTTATGTCTGTTTACAATGTAATATTTTCAGTCCTCATTCGCTCGCTACATGTCCAACCAAGGATACGACACTTGGATTCTTGAGGTTCGAGGGTCGGGACTGAGCACTCACAGAGTAGAAAGGAAGGATACTATTGGTCAGATAAGGTCAGAAACTCCGGAGAAACAGCCACTAGCTAAGATTGGTACATATTCCAGTTCTGAGGGTTCCAGCGTTTCTTCAAAACATGGTCTGTCGGGAACTTCTAACTTTAGGTATTATGGGATTTAAGTACTTAGACAACATTTTTAGTACTTTCCAAACTTGTTACAGGACAGGAATCTACCATTGCTACTCAACTTGGGAACTGGAATAAGAATCTTATCAATATCATTGAAGGAGCTCAACAACTGGGTCCATTGAAGCCTTTTAATTTACAAGGTGTTACCTCTGCATTAGAAGACTTCCAGGAACAACTTGATGTGTATGAGAAGTATGACTGGGACTTCGACCACTACTTGGAAGAAGATGTACCTGCTGCGGTGAGGTGCATATTCTTTTTCGAATCACTGAAATTAATACTCCTTCGAACACCTCATCAAAGGAAAATCTCGATTTTTCATGCTAGATGGAGTACATAAGGAACCAATCCAAACCGAACGATGGGAAGTTACTAGCTATCGGCCACTCGATGGGGGGTATCTTGCTATACGCAACGATCTCGCGCTGTAGTGAGTTTGACATGCTGTTCTTTTATCCCAACTAATTTGATAATCTTGACAATCCATTATGAACCTTGATCCCAACTAATTTTTCTTTTTTCAGGCTTTAACAAAGTTGACCCGCAGTTGGCATCAGTTGTTACGTTGGCTTCATCGCTCGACTACAGACCTTCAAACTCATCACTCAGACTTCTGTTACCTTTGGCAAGTGATTCTATTAGCTATACTAAAATGTTTTCTTCCTCAAATGTGACCATCAAACTAAAAGACATATCCAACTTCAATGCAGAGGGATCCCGCACAAGCTTTTAATGTTCCCGTGTTTCCCATCGGACCATTGCTTGCTATCGCTCATCCTCTTGCATCCCGACCTCCTTATCTCCTGTATTGGCTAAAGGATCAAATCTCTGTAGAAGACATGTTAGATCCCACCTTGCTCGAGAAGCTGGTGTTGAATGGCTTTGGTGAAATACTATTCCTTTTGTCCATGTTTCAGTGAACTCTAGACGCCTTGTTCATAACATGATAATATGTTTTTCAGAATCTGTGCCGGCAAAGGTTCTCCTGCAGCTATCATCAGTTTTCGAAGAGGGGGGCTTACGTGACAGGAACGGGACGTTCCAGTACAATGACCATCTACGCCAAACCAATGTTCCAATCCTTGCCATTGCTGGAGACCAAGACCCCATTTGTCCACCTGAAGCGGTATACGGTATGATATCTAAATATAATACCCAAGTGCCATGCCTTCCTCTCTGATTCTATTCACCACACCTCATTGACTCCAATCTTTTTCGACACTGATATCAGAAACTGTGAAAGGAATTCCCAGGGAGTTTGTTTCCTACAGAGTTCTTGGGAAGCCTGGTGGTCCTCATTATTCTCACTATGATCTTGTGGGAAGTCGTTTGGTATGGTTTTTCTCCTTCACAGGCACTTCTTAAGGACGACTTCGATTTACAAACTTCTCTAATTTCTTTCTATTCAACGTTATCGAATGCAGGCATCGAGTGACGTGTATCCGTTGATAACTGATTTTCTCAACCGTCATGATGTGGCTTGATTTCACCATACTATTCTACTATTCAACTCCGCTAGGTATATACATTCGTCGGTAGATATCAGGAACAGTAGTATACGTATAGCTTCCACGATAAAATATACACAGATTTCCTTCCTAAGTTCCACTGTATACACAATTGACAGACATACAACCCTGTGGGGGATAGTTTCTGAAGTAGATTACTGGATTCAAAAGTTCTAGGTTGTGTTATTTGATATCTTTATCTCAACTTCTGGAAATATTTCTTCAGTGAAACAGAGTTTTGTCGCTCTTTTAGTTTTATTCACTCCGACCCGACTCGATTCATATAAGAATGAAGCTATCATAAAATGATCATTTGATTCGAACCATGAACTCAATCATCAGAGGCAGAGCTATGCCATAATGAAAACAGATTACAACAAGAAAGCCATTGTAATTTGATGTCTTACAGCTATGCAATCAAGAAAGGAGTTTCACACAAATGAAAGAATGCTTTTGGTGATGTAAAAAGGCAATGAAATCTGTACACCACATAGGGGAGAAAGCAAGCAAGCAGAGTCGAAGAAACGCTAGACGTGATGGACTAACCGTTCAGCCTCGGCCTACCGCTGCAGTCTTACAGACTGGGCATGTATTCTTCTGTGCAAGCCACTGTTTTATACAGTGTATGTGATAGCTGTGCCCACAGCCCAGCCTACCCATTTCATCGTCTGGTTCATAGTCCTCCTGCTAGTACAAAATCATTTTAGGTGTCAAGAAAGTGCTAATCAGAGCTAGCAAACTAAACTCTGCTACTTCACCTGACAGATGCTGCACTTCCGATCCATTTGAGATAATAAATAAGATGATAGCTCATTTACAACAAGGGGCTTCGTCTTTCGAATGCATCTTCCAATCTCGTCTTCTTTCAGCCCGGTGCTCACATGGCCAATCCTTTCACCGAGTTCGAGCAGTTCCTGTTTCCATCCCGTTATAAGAAATATTTGTGAGTAGAGAGTATCAGTTTAGGAAGAAGGATTTGGAGAAAGTTACGAACCTCATATGACATGTCATCAACGTCGAGTCGTAATTCCCTAAATTGATCACGTATATCGAACCTTCCACCCATCAGCAAACTGCTCTGGAACATCATAATCTGCTAAATAACATATCAAGTGAGCAAATCAGTCTCATATGATCATTAGTACGTAGAAAGAACATCGTAATCTGAAAACATTTCCAGCTCAGAATTAAGGAGCAACTCTGTCAAGAAAATCAAACACTCCAAATCAAAAACATGTTCCAACAAAAAAGGTTAAAACTTGAAAGCAGATTTGATTTGCTTCTTTGAAGCTGCATTTTCTAATGCCATCTGCCAAACATCTAAAAATGCATAATACTCTAATTCACCAAATATCAGAATCTTCGAAGACATCAAATGACATATGCCAAACTATTTCAGGCCATAAATAACTGAAAAACAAAGCATAAGCCAGAACCCAACTGAAGCTTATATCTTTAGAACTCGGACACTATAACAATCCAAGTCCACCACTAATAAATATTATCCGATTTGACCCATTACGCATCGCCGTCAGCCACACGATTTTAAAACGCGTCTGTTAGGGAGAGGTTTCCACACCCTTATAAGGAATGTTTCGTTCTCCTCTCCAACCGATGTGGGATCTCAAAATTTGTGGAAACTTCTCCCTAGTAGACGCGTTTTAAAACCGTGAGACAGATGACGATATGTCACGGGCCAAAGCAGACAATATTGGCTAGCGGTGGGATTGGGCTATTACAAATGGTATCAGAGTCAGACACTAGGCACACCCCTAAGAGGGGTAGGGTGAATTGTGAGATCCTACATCGGTTGGAGAAGGAAACGAATCACTCCTTATAAGAGCGTGGAAACCTCTCCCTAATAGACACGTTTTAAAATTGTGAGGTTGACGGCAATACGGAAAGTACCAAAACGGACAATATCTACTGGCGGTGGACTTAGGTGGTTAAAGACAGAACTATACAACCCATAAAACAGATCCGGTTCGAGTAAGATATTCATGAAATTGAATACAAATATGAACGCTTACCTCAGCAAGCCCCTCAGGGGATGGGTGTCGAACATGGCGATAATATCGACTCCGAGACACTTCCAACGATCGAGCTGTTGGAAGATCAGAATCAGACTCCAAAAGTAAGAGAGCCTCGGGGTTCACTGTTCGTCTTCCTAAATAAGAACGCTGTCATTGTAAAACCAGAGCAAGTTAAAACGCATGAAACAATGTGCTGTCATAGATAATAATCTATGAACAAGAGATTACACATTTTCATATCGTCAAAGGAAGATTACTCGAAGACCCATTTGCATTAACTACTCAAATTTACAAAGAAGAACGAAAACGAACAAGTTCCAAGCAGATTCAGACTGATTTATAAGAACCCTATAGCAGAAAAGAAACACAGATGAAAGAAGCTGAAAATAAATTATAAAGAAATGGAAAAGCGAGTACCTCCCTTTGACTCATCTTCTCCAAATCGACTTTGCCCCTTCCAGAAGCATGTCTTCTAGCAACAACGCAATCCACAGAAGCGGCAGCATCGGCGGAGAATCCAATTCCAGGGCCACACCAAACATCTTGAGCGTCTAAACAGCTAGCAGAATTAAAAGGGGAATTATGTTGAAAATGAGACCCATCAACAATTCCTTGATGGGTTTTGTTCTTAGAGTTCTTCTGCTTCTTTTTCCTTGTGTTCTTCTTCTGCCAATCCGCTGAAGTCCGAATTACAGCCGGAACCGTAACCTGCTGAGAAGCGGCGGAAGTGCAGCCAAGTCCCCTGAAAGTTGCAGAAGAGAAGTGGGTCTTCTTCCTATTCGTGGGAACGGAAGAGGGCAAAGATTCATTGGTGCCATTAGTGGCATTATTGGTAAAGGTGGAGAGGAGAAGAGAGGAAATGGTGGATTTGCAGCGAGTGGATTGAACAATGGAAGGGATTGATGGGTTTGGATCTGATTCTGAAATGGGTTGCCTCAAATGGCTTCTGGGTCTTCTCAATTTGATGTGTTCATCCATTGTAGAAGCTCGTGTAACAACAGGCATGATTCTAAGACAAGGATGAGAATGCAACAAAGAAAGTAGAAGAGGAGGAAGAAAGAACAAACAAATAGAGGCGATTAAAGGGTTTTAGAAGAGAAAAGTAAAGGGAATGGAATTGAAGGGGACAGAATTTGAGTTGAATGAGAGAAAAGCATCAACGTTAATAAACTTTAATTTATTCAATCTTTCTGTTCCATTCCCAGATTTGAATGCAGAGGCGGAGAGAGAGGAAGGGGAAGAAAAGAGAAAAATGGATTGATTTTGAAGCGATTTTACCTTTTTTTCTGGTTCTATTCTCATGCTTCTCTGTGCTGTTTGCTGGGCTCTGCTTGTCTTCTACTTGGAATTTGTGGTATATCGTCCTAGACTTGGTAATCCATTAACTACTTGAATTTTATATTTTATATATATTTTTTTTTAAAATTTAAAATTTATTTACCATAATTTTTTATGAGATTGTGGGATTATAGGAGGGGTGAAAAAGACATCTAAACATTTCGTATAAGGGTGTAAAAATCTCTCTAGTAGACACATTTTGAAAATAATAAGACTGACGACAAAGCGGATAATATCGGCTAGTGTGGACTCGGAGTTATTACAAATGTGTCGGCTGAGACGGTGACCTCTAAGAATGGTGGATTGTGAGATTTTATAAGGGTATAGAAATCTTTCTCAATTAAAAGGGAAATGTAACGAGCCAAAATAGAAAATATTTAGTAACGGTTTGAGTGCGTAGAAAACTGTCGTAAAAGAGGGAAGGGTATTATGGTCAGAAAAGACTATTTCTGGTAGGGTCAGAAGAAAGTCAGCTCATTAGGTGACCATGGATTGCAGCTGGAAACAAAAACAGAGGGTCAAGATTTGTAAGTTATGGGGATTCTGTCGAGTTTTTGCTGGAAATGGACGGTTCTGATGTCGTTTTCTTTTTCTTCCTTATTTTCTTCTGCAGAATTAATAAATTATGTTCATATTGAGGTAATTTTGAGGATTGATTCTTTTTTTAAAATTTAAATTATTTACGGGTATTTACTATTTTCAATAAAAAAAAAAAATGAAACAAGACGATCTTTTTATGAACTAATAAAAGAAAATTAAATTACAAATTTTTGTCCACAAATTTGTCAAATATACTTTTTTAAAATTATAATATTATTAATATGGTCGATGTTATTTGTTAGGTTCAAGTACTCAATTCAAACTTTTATACTGTACCAAATTATTTTGGTCGGTCTGCCTTAAGAAAATAATTCATTTCGAGGAATATTAGTTTCAGTATTTTATGACATCCAAGTCAAAAGGGGTATATGAGTATATTGAGACTAAGTTCGGATGAGAGCAATACTAAAGACAAGATAACTAAAAAAAAGTTGTAAAAGAATTGAAAGTACTACCTATACTAACAACGTGTGTCTTCCTTTTCAATGGCTCTATCGTAGAAACTTCATGGTTAAGTATGTTTTGTCTCAAGTAATCATATTTTAGTATGTTAGGATGGTCTTCAGTCTTAGAAGTAAGGAACATGACTATGTCATAGGAGATTAGGTCAAATAGGAGATTAGGTCAAAATCCCAGTCTGAATCCGGGATATGGGACATACAAAAGTTGGTGGGCGTGTGGTACTCGACTGAACTCGTGTCGGTCTGGAAGGATAGTTCTCAATTCTATTTGGTTGAGAAAATGATTTATTATTAGACAGTATTGAAGATGGAAAAGGAGTTGTAATTAAAATGGGTGGTTGGGGAATAATAATTGAACTTTATCGTATTAGAAAGGGAATTAATATTTTATTTGTTATTATAAGGATTAAAGCTGGGACGCAACTTGTTTAATTAATGAAATTTTTAGTATGTTTAATAACCTAAATCCTTATAATCTGCTATAATCAGATCAAAATTTAAGTCAAACCAATATTTTGTACTAAAATTTAAATTTATAATTAAAGATCAATCATGCACACATACTGGGAAATAAATTATTTTATTTACAAATAAAATAAAATAAAATAAAACAAAACTATTTCAATTTTTTATTATATAGAGAAGGTCACCATCACAACTATATAGTTAATTTTGGGGAGTCGTATCAATATTTAATAACACCTCCCTCAAATGTAATTTCTATCATTAATATTCAACCACTAAACTTCATTATATATTTTTTTAAACTTTTAAAAATGTTGCAAAATATCTTTATATTTAATAAAGTAAATATATATATACTTTATTATATACAAATTTGTGACATTAGAAGCTATAAAGAAGGAAGGTGATTGGCTCTTTTTCCAATGGGGAAAAGGGTGTTTATAGATATTTTTGACTTCCCTTTCTTTCGCTTTTTCCCACCTCCTCCTTTCCCTTACTTCAATGCGCCTTTTCCTTTTTAATACTTCAATTTCAAAAATATTTGCCTTTTTTTATTAATTATTTTCATATTAATACACCATTTCTAATAATGATGACTACAAAGAAGAAGAAAAAGTTAAAAAGAATTCTCGAGAGCGGTCTAAGGTGTGAAAACGAGGTTGTGGGAGTGCAATACGAGCATCGTACTGCTGGGTAACATAGTGAAATGCTACACCCTAGGCCAAACGTACCTCCTATTTAGGAATAGGGCGAGCCATAAATACTTGTCGTGCATATCAATGCCAATTACTTACAAACTCTCTCCCATCTTACTAGTTATAACGAAGGGGCATACAATCAATTAAGGGTATTCTATAATAGCTCAAGCCCACCGGTAGCAGATATTATTCTCTTTGGACTTTCATTTTTTTAGCTTCTTCTCAAGGTTTTAAAACGCATATATTAGGGAAAGATTTCTACACATTTATAGATATACTTCGTTTCTCTCTCTAATCGATGTGAAATATCACAATCCACCCTTCTTGGGGCCCAATGTCTTTTTTGGTACACCGCCTAGTGTCGTAGGTCTAAAACCATTTGTAACAGTCTAAACTCGTTACTAGTAGATATTGTCCTATTTGAGGTTTTCTGGCTTCTACTCAGGGTTTTAAAATGCAGTTGTTGAGATGTTTTCATACCCTTATAAAGAATATTTCATTTTTCTCTCCAACCGATGTGAGATATGACATATTCGAATAAGTGAAATGAGAAATTTACTCGAAATGACGATGTCCAAGAAGAGATGTCTTGTACTGTATGGAACCATATATTTTTAATTCACGAGACAAAAGCTAGCGATATAAGATACGACAATCCCAATATGTCTGTTTAACGAAAATATAATGAGTTTGCATTGGGAAGGTAAAGCTTTCACAAGAACCAAAAAAAAAACACAAATTATGGCGACCCCGAAATTTGGAGACAAAATGAATTGTTTTATGGACTCGAAGCCATTGTTCGGTTCTAAGGCTTTTGTTCATGTCGGAACGCAAATAAGGGAATTATCCCTTTTATTTTTTAATATTACTTTTTAACTAAAAACACTTTTTATTAATCTTAATTAATTAATCGATTCATTATATCAAGATGGTTATTCAATATTATTTGATAAAGAACATACTTTATATTCTGATTATTTAAATCCAATTATTATTTGCTGCTAAAAACTGTCAATGCACTTGGGAGTATTTTAGCAAGATCAGGACCACGGGTTACGATGAAAATATTAATTAATAATACTACATAATTTCCAATTATTAACAGCACAATAAATCAACTAGGTAACACTTTCAGATTAATATTTATTTAATTTCTAAAGTTTCCTAATATACCTATTAATTCTCAAACTGCAAAATAAATTTTAAAATGTATTAAAATAGAAATTATTTAGAAAAATCAAAACTATTCATTAATTTTTTTTTAATATATAAAAATGAAGAAAATTGGTTAAGTGACACGTAAAATTTATGATTTTAGCACAAAAAAAAAACAATTGGGCCATAGTGGCCCAATTCACCTGAATGGGCCTGAGCCCATTACACAGTAGCCGACTTTTTTATATATTGGGTAGAAAAGTGGAATGAAAAATAAAATGTCAAGAATGGGATTCGAACCCATGCCCTTTCGGACCAGTACCTGAAACTGGCGCCTTAGACCAACTCGGCCATCTTGACTCATGCTTTCACGTTAATTATTACAGTATCACCTAAATTAATCTTACAAAAATGACGTCAGTATCCGACAAGCTATCTTTCTGTCTCGTCGCTTTCATAAAATCCGACACGTAATTGTTTGTTGCCTGTGAAATTCATCAATCCTCTATTGTTCAAGCACCACACCCGGCAGCGCAACCGCCGCCGTAAAGCTCAACGTCCGCCGTGGAGTTCCTCTCCTTTGAGATGCCATCGGAGCAAGAGAAAGTTATAAGGGAGATTATAGAGAGTGTAAACAGAGCCGCCAAGAACAGGCAAGAAATGTCACCGGAGAGGCCAAAACTTCCATTAGCGCTGCCAAACTCTCCGACCAGTCTGGCCATTTCTGCAACCTCTCTCTCTTTTCTTTCAAGCCAGTTAAGTTGTTGTTGATCCTTCCATTGGGGTGGCTTTATAGTGCTCAAAACTCAAATTTGATTTGGACCAACAGTTTTGGGAGGCAAAAATGTCAGAATTTGGAGTGTAAAATGAGGGTAGTGGATGCTTCATGGTTGTGTATTTTGTGTGTGCATTATCATCCCACTCTTCATTGCAAAGTAATACCATACACATAAAGCAACCCATCATTATATTCCAAACAATAATTTAACTTACTTTTCACACTTTTCGGAAATTTAAAAAATCTTTTACTTTTCCTTTTGTTGGATCAAATTATAATTTAGATTAGATTCAACTCTCCATGTCTGAGTTTTGAACAAGGATTCGACATCTGAAGGATCCGATATCCTTTTGCGACATGATCATGTTACTTACTATTCGCTTCTATGAGTGAAGACTATCCCACAGACCAACATTAGTCCTTCCGGTGTGTTTTGACTTTCAATTCTTTTAAGTCTTTCTTAGTCATCTTATATTCGTGATCGTTCTCTTTCAGATATATTCATGTATCCCTAGATTTTAAATTTTCATAAAAAAATTTCAAAGTATCGTTAAACAAGTCCAAATTGTATACTTAACCCGGAATAATCCAAAAAAAATTGTTTTAAGAATAAAGTAAAGTAGTATGCATAAAAAGTAGGAAGAGAGTAAGGAAACAATATTTATGAATCAATGATGTTTCAATAATTGCACTAAAATATTGGTATGAATTAAAAGTTTAAGCCGTGACTTCATTGTTGGGTGGCATAAACTTAGGCCACAACTACCCCAGTTCGACCTCCATGTCAAATGACAAATCTACCCTTACAAGCACACAATTTTCTTCATTAATCTCCTCTTACTCTTGAAA